TATTATGCTTTTGAGAGAAATACTAAATTCTTAGAAGGCAGATAGCTCACTATGTTCTGTTCAATACTGACTTTATAGATAAAACAAATATGTTCAAATATATTTTATTGCAAAAGGTAAATAAACTATATATCCTATACTGTAATTTTTGGAGTGTCTATTAAATAAAAATATTTAAATGAATGACAAATTTAAATTATTTAACACATCGTACTCTTTATTAGTTTCACATTGGCCTGACCCTAGTTAATTTAGCAAAAATATTTCCATTGCCAAATTTATTTTGATAACCATAATAGTTTTTATTTCATTCATTTACATAATATACATTTATTAGCCACTAATTCTTTAGTAGACACTTGTATATACTAGGTATACAGCAGTGAAACGTAGACTAATTTCTTTTAAAGTTTATAGGCCACCATAAATACAATAATGAAAAGTGTTACGTACTACAATAGATAAATGCAAGGGTTTTATGGAACCAAACAAACAAAATCCAAAATCTTCCCCAGGTGCAGTGGCTCATGCTTGTAATCCCACCAGTTTGGGAGGTTGAGGCAGGTGGATCACTTGAGGCCATGAGCTGAAGTCTAGTCTGGGCAACATGACAAAATGCCATCTTTACAAAATACAAAAAAATTAGCTGGATAGGGTGACGCCCACCTGTAATCCCAGCTACTCAGGAGGCAGAGACAAAAGAATCGCTTGAACCCAGGAGATGGAGGCTGCAGTGAGCTGAGACACGCACTGCATTCCAGCCTGGGCTGGAAAATCTTTTTTGGAAGGATAGAACAATCAGAGGTAAAGGGAAAATAATTTTCCAGGCAGAGGTAATGTCTTGTGCAAAGAAATACCAACGCATTATGGCACGGTAGATTGAGAGAAGTGAAAATCGTTAAATTGGAGATGGGATGACAATGGAGTGTGTGGAAGATGAAACTGGAACCAAGTTTTGACCAGCTCTGCATGTGATAAGGAGTCTATTGTATTTCTTTCTCTAACCTATAGGCAGATTTAGCTTCATTTGAGTGGTGGTCTGAAAAGGAAACGGTGGGTGATGGGTTGAGAGATAAAGAAAGAAAAAATGAAGAGTTTCTTTAGGATAATATCCAATTAAAAGTAATATTGGCTGATACATCTATTGCTCTTTATAACACTCTAGGATTCCCAGGAAACAGTGTCTGTTGTTGGTGGCTCATTCTAATATTTTTCTATAGTAGACACATAATGTATAGTGGCTCTGAGTATAAACATGTACACATGTACATGTAGCTGTGTTTTTTTAATAAACTTTATTTTATAGTAGTTTAGTATTTTCAGAAGTGCTGCAATAAAAAAAACTTTCCTAAAAGTGTCATCCTATATCCTTCACTTGGTTTCCCCTATTGCTAACACATCGTTATGCTGCATTTGCCACAACTAAGAAACCCACAGGTACGTTAGTATTAACTGAATTCCACACTTTATTTAGATTTTACTAGTTGGGATTTTGTATATTTAATCTCTAATGTTCTTTTTCTGTTTTAGAGTTCCATCCAGATGCAGTATTTTTTCACGCACTTCAATGGCTTTGCTTTGAATATAAAATTTCAGCATTCAAGTACTTTATGTATAATGTCAGCAAAAATGAAGTTATAATCCTGACACTGTTATATTTTATGTGACATCCATGAATTTAAACACATTTTATTATTATTATTTTATTATTAGCGAATTGGATAGAGTATTATTCTTAAGGCATTATAGTAAGATGTATAATCAAAGATTGAAGTGGCATGCAAAAGCATATATTGCAGTGTATATGCAGTAAAGAAGTCTCACTTAAAATGACACTCTATCAATAGCCCTCCCTTTTGGTGAGTAATTGGCTTAAAATGCAAATAATATGGTTAGAAATTCTAGAAAGTTGAATTCTTATGTGTAACATCTTCAAAAGTTCTGCTGCTTTAATTTTCTTAGTAATATGGAAGAAATATACTTAATTTCATATTTCAATGTGAAATGAGCTTAATTTCACATTTCATTTCACAAATCAATTTTCTTTTCAAAGATGTGGCCCATTTATTATTTGTTCTAAAATACATTGTTACCTTGGTAACTGCCAAATTATAGGCCTTATGTAAAAATGTTGGTGAGGAAAATCTTAACAAATGACTCAACAAAAACGAGGAGACCTGAAGTGTACTTTATAATTTTGATGTCTAGAAAGTCCTCTTACAAGCCTTTAACCATCGTAGGCTCTTAAAACATCTCTCCTATCTTCCAAGGGACCTAGAAATGCTAGGTTAGAATCCAGGCTGACTTACAATCCCTATATCTCATTTCCCACCATGCATGTTCCCGCATTCCCCCTCCAAAAATATTTAGCAGCTTGTCATGCATTCTCAATGTTCATTTCCTTATTCAGCACATTCTGTAAAAACATGGCATGAGTTTGTAAAGACAAATTATTCTGGCAATAAAACAAGTGTGAGCCTCATTTTACATAGATTTTTGCAGCTTTGTTACTTTGTATGCATTGACTTAATAAAGAAAAGTACACAGGAGAAGCCAAGATAGAGATTACAATAAACTGGACTCAAGCTCCAACCTGGCATTGTTCAATACCGATGTCGTGGGCTCCTTTTAGGTTCATATTTATAGTTTTGAAAATAGATGACTTAAATATATCATCTCCAAGATTTCTTCTAGTTCTGAAGTCAATGATGCTCTGATAATTTTTCCCTTTGATAATTCCTCAGGTAATTAATAAACTGCATTGATTTCCCCAGAGCAACTTCAAACCCAGCTACTTCCTTTATTGGAGGCTTTCTCTCTGAAAATGCAACTACTGGAGATTTCAGTTGTCTTTAATAAAAGAGAAATATGTAAGTCAGAAGAGAGTAAAGATTTTGGAGACTGTAATTTTCATTAGCCATATATCCAGCCTATTTTTTTGGCCTTTTGAAAAGCTGTATTAATGCTGCAATTTTTTAAGAAGGGGGAATGAACAGTACCCCTTTCCTCCATCACAGGCTCTGTTTTTCCCTTCATTAACTGCCCTGAAGCCTTAGTCCAATCTTGAACTATGCAGCTGTAAAACAGGCAGTGATTTTGTTTGTATTTAATCATCCAGAGTTCCAGCACAAGCTATAGGTTATGAATATATACATATTTCCTTTCCACATATATTGCTTAGAAGTGTTTCTTGAATTGAATAGTGCCTTCCCTACCCAAATTCACATGTTGAAATCTGAGTCCTGAAACTCTAAATGTGACCTTATTTCGAAACAGGGTTGTTGTAGAAGTAATTAGTTAAGATGTGGTCATGCTGGAGTATGGTGAGTCCCTAAACCAATATGCCTGGTATCCTCCTAAAAAGGAAATTTGGACAAAGAAACAGGAAGAATGCCATGTGAAAATAAGAATTATGTTGTCACAAGCCCAGAAAGAACCAGAACCTAAGAGAGAGAACCAGAAAAGATCTTTTCCTCATGCCTTTAGAGGAGCATTGCTCTGGCAATACCTTGATTTTGACTTGACTTGTAGCCTCCAGAACTGTGAGATAATAAATTTCTGTTTTTCTAAGCTACCCAGTTAGTAATATCTTCTTATTGCAGCTCTAGAAAAATAATACAAGCATCATCACAGGTCTATAGTATGGGAGTTTGGGGTTGAATTTCTGTTAAGATCCATTCCAGGAAATGTATTAGTGCCATCCCTGGCTTATAGATTTGTTTTGCCTATGCTGTTGTTTGGGTTAGCACACATGTCAGTGTATTTTTCTATGACTTATAATACATCTGGTTTCAAGTACTTGGCTTTATCATTTACTAGCTGTGTAATTAACCTCACTGATCTTCAGTTCCCTGAGAATGATAATACTTGATCTAGAGAACCATAGGCTTATTTATGAGGATTAGGAGAGATAACATGAGTGAAAAACAATATGGAGGCATGTAGAAGAGCATTAGAGTGCAGAGATTAAGATCAAGGGTCCTGGAACCAGGCTGCAGGAGTTCAAGTTCTACTTTTTCTTTTATTAGTTGTGTGACTGAACCATAGACTCAGCTCTACTATTTTAAAATAAGAGCTATAATAATTCCTGTGTATGAAGGCTGTTGTGAAGATGAAATAAGACAATATATAAAGAGATTTTAGAAGAGTGGCACATAGAACATACTCATTAAATGGTATCTAACAAAACTACCTTGCAAAGTATTTTGAACCATGCAAATGTTTGATCATTATAATTTATAGTTAAGAAATAGCTTATTGACTTTACACACCAATATTAAGTATGCATGATTACTGATTTTACACATCAGTTACTCTGACTTTCTAGCTCACTGTTCAACATATATTTCAGTATCATGTATTTTCATAACCAAGAAGAGCTAAGCAAGGATGATGACAAAAAAAGGATTGTTATCAAGTAGATCAGGGTTTCCCCGTGAGTCAAAAGAACTCCACAAGTAGAGGCTATTTCTGGTATTCATTAATCTTGTCATTTCCTTGTGTGAGAATATTTTAGAGCCAAACATTTTTGGATCATGTTATTGATCTAATATGATAACAAAAAGCAAAGCATTCAAGTAGATTTTAGAGAATTAGTTTTTTTTTTAAAAAAAAAAACTTTTAAAAATTTTTACTGAAAACCTTGTTTACATATATTTGAATGGAGATACCTTACCTATACATCACCCTCCTGGGTTACAGTAAATTAAAAAATAGTCATTCTGCTTTCTCACATTGCCATATACTTTAAGTTGAGTTTCTGGGTCAAATAAAATACTTCTATTGATAAACAGCATTTGTTTCATGTGTGTCTGGCCTCACAGAAGGAAAAGAAAGATTTTAGCATCTGGCCTTACAGAGAAGAAAGAAGTATTTTAGTAAAACACCTTGTACTAGTGTGTTTTTTTTTTTTTTGTTTTTTTTTTTTTTGAGGAAATAGAAATAGCTGAGACTTAAAAACAAATTAGAGTACCATGTTTATTCCATTTCATACAACTTACCCAGGAAGTATACAACTGGAGGACAGACTGTCTCAGTGCCGTGGATAAGTTATAGTCTTCAGAACTATGATGTGTTTGGTGTCCGGCCCACATAATATTAACTTCTGCAAAACACATAATTTGCAATGAGCCATGAGAATAAGAACAAAGCAACTTCCATTTTCAGTTATGCATGCTGCTCTGTTGAGTGAGGAATAAAAATCTGGAACATCTCTGTAAAAGCTGGCCAATATAATTATAATTAAAATATGCTGCCTGAAATAATTTTTGGAACCAGAGACTGTATGCATTGTAAATAAATAAAATTGAAAGCATAGCCAATAAAAACGTATAGTTTATATGTTATAATTAAATGCCTCCAACAAGCTGACATTAATTCCAAAATTTACACTTTGCTAACATATTATAATATGACAGATTATAAAAGCTAGCTGGTAATGTTGTGACAATACACTCAATGGATAGTGATGATTTTTCAGCATGTGATAACATGTTTCTAACTAAAGAAAAATGATCTGATGGGAGAAATTGGTATGGAAATTTTGGAATAAAATATTAATGAAATTGTTTCCTCATGGCTTTCTGAGAAGTCTCAAAATCTGTCGGAATAAGAAGCAAAGCATAGCATAGTAGTATTTTGCGCTAAGGTCTCAGGTATTCTTTTATTTACAAAAATATATTAGCTAACAGTTACCTATGGTTTTCCCATACCTTACCAAAATACTAAATCATTTCTAAATTTTTCCGCATAGTTTTACTTGTGTTCATAAAAAAAGAAAATGATTGTTGTTTATTTTCATCAAGCACTGTACAGATTGCTCTCATAGTGTCTTGGAATTCATAGAGACTCCAAAGAAGAGTGGCCTTTTAAAAAAATTTTTACAACCAATATGACACTGTGTTGATCCCCTAAGTAGCTGACACAGAATAGTACAAGTCATTTTTTAATTCTGCCCATATTTCTAAATTGTATTGCCATTTTTCATTTCCTAACAAAATCAGAGATCAAAATGTCACATTATACTCTATTCAGTTTTAAAAAATATGTTCTTAGCTAAAGTAACTTATGTTTAGTCTTTTGCTACAAATCCATGAAATGGAATTAGCTATGTGACCTGATCATCATATCCTTGCCAGTATAGATTAGAAATTAAATCTTTGAGGCTTGGATGTATGGGAACTAACCAGTGGACCTAGAACTGGAAATATCAAGTTAATTGTCTTTGCATTTGTCGTATACTGACAGTTAAAATGCATAGTACATAGCAGAATAATTTTAGAATTTTTTATGAAAATTATAATCATATATATATTCAATCTGGGTAAATTTTGTCCATTTCTTTCAAAATGAAAGTTCTCTGAACAGTCTGTGTAGAGAATTACCAAACAAAATTGTTAAACAAAAAGTCTTGGTAAACAAATGATAGCTCATAGATATAAGAAGGACTTAATTCTGTATAATAAGGAATATTATAAACAGAATTATAGTTAATCTTATTATGAACAGATAACAAATGCCATTTTTATTAAAGTCATATATTTTTCAGTGGAACATGTATTGTCATCAACCATCAGCAGATATGTAACTTAGATTCCAATTGGTTGGGATCATTTGTAGGATTATTTTAATCATTTGTAGGAATGACATTGTATTTCTCTGCTAGCAATTAAGGAAATTGTTCTTACACAAAAGAGAACTACTTCACCAGAAGTAGAGAACGACTTCTAAAAATATCCAGTCATAATCTTTGAAATAACATAGAACCAAATTATCTGGTTTATTGATAAGCCTAATGGCTGTACCTAAGAAATATACAAAGACCCTTGTGGCACTTTACATCTTCAGATGTGAAGTGGAAGTTGATTAAGAGGTAATAAATTTGGTGAATCCCCTAAAGTTTAAAAACCGCTTACAGATAGAGATCTTGAAGTAATCTAAACACCATTTTCTCTTTAGAACATACTCACTGCTGAACATTTTATAACTTGTGACTTATAAACCTTCATTAATAATCAATACATTGTCTTTTTATTATTATTATTATTATACTTTAAGTTCTAGGGTACATGTGCATAACGTGCAGGTTTGTTACCTATGTATACTTGTGCCATCTTGCTGTGCTGCACCCATCAACTCGTCATTTACATCAGGTATAACTCCCAATGCAATCCCTCCCCCCTCCCCCCTCCCCATGATAGGCCAGTAGCTGGGATAATAGGCATTCAGTGTAAGGATAATATAGCAGCAATAAAAATTTCAATAACCAAAAAAAAAAAAAAAAAAAAAAAATCAATACATTGTCTAGTTTTTGACCTGTCAGGATTTGTTTTTTAAAAATTCATTCTAATGCATCCACAAAATGAGTTAACAAAAGGATGAGCTAATTAGACGAGGTTCCATTAGAGAGTCATAATATATTTTGGGAGCCACTTTCTCATACCCTCTACAGAAGCTAAACGGTGAAACAAAGAATCCACAAAGGTGGAGGTTAAAGATCTATCTCTTTAGTTGTTTCAAAAGCATTTACTTCCTATCACAAACTGTGTGTAACACAAGCCTCATTCAATGAGGTACAGCTGTACAAACAGGGCACAGTAACAGGATCCTACTGCCTCACCTCATTTTCAGAATTGGTAAAAAAACAAGGAATACTGAATTTGTTTCATAGTCTATATTCAGCTTATTGGAGGTAAATTATTGTTACAAAAGTAGTTATAAAAATGCATTTTATGGAAAGTTATTCCAGTAGTTCTTTTGTGAACAAAATGAGAAAAACGTTTAACAGTGCATTTATATGATCATCTTTCCTAATACTTGAATTGGTGAATTATCTGTTTTAAGAAGTGAAAACAAATATTGAGGAGAAAAAGATATTATTGAGAATAAGCTTCTCTCTGTGAAAGACTTCATATAATTATACATTCTGTCCAATAATATTTTTCTTTTTCTATAAGCAAATTATAGATAATATTAATACATGTATGTTATTATAATTTTTCAACGATATAATTAGAAATGATTATGCTGCTTTCTAGTGCCAAATGTAATTCTGTATATTTTATTAATATATTGGCCAACACTTCCATTCATTTGGTCAACATTTTATGTAATGTGTATGTGTGTGGTCTGTGTTGTATTTTTTAATTTCCTTTTCAATATTTTTATGAAGATGTAACTTACATACAACAAAATCCATCTTTTTTTAATGTTCGGTTCTATGAGTTTTTAACAAATGCCGTTGTTCAATGATTACTGAACCTTTTTGTGGTTGTGGTAGTCAGACTTCAAGATGGTTTCCTGTTTCAGATAATTCAAGTTCTGGACTTTGAACTGATAATGCAGTGGAATGAAACTTTTGGGAACAGGAAAGAAGTGAGTGTCTTTTGAATGTGGGAGAAATATGAATCACTGAGGTCCAGAGGGCTAACTAGGCAACGCAGCCTCTAGAATGGCCCCCAGTGATTCCTGTCCAAAGGTGTTCATGCCTTTTATAATCTCCTATCTTTGAGTGTGAGCTAGATTTAGTGACTTTCTTCTAGTAAACAGAAATTTAGCAAAGATGATGGCATGTCACTTCTGATACCGGGTTTAAAGAAGACAGTAGCTTGTGTCTTGGGTGTCCTCTCTCATACTCAAACACTCTAAGAAAAAGCTGGCTACCTTGTTATGAGCGCCCTTTGAAGAAATGCATATGTCAGGGAAGTGGGCTAACCAGCCAGCAAGGAACTGAGCTCCTCAGTCCAAGCCCCATGAAGAATTGAATTCTGCCAACAACCATGTAACAGAGTTTGGATGCAGATCTTTCTCCATGTGAGTAGTCCAATGACACTGCAGTCTGCAAAGAGCTGAACCGACTAGCAGCAACCTCCTGAAAGAACTTGAGCCAGAGACATTCACCTAAACTATGCCCCAATTTCTAACCCACAGAAACTAGGAGATAATAAGCATTTCTTGTTTTAAGCTCCTAACTTGTTACAAGCAATAGATAATTAATGCGGTGGTCAAAAACCCCTCACTCCCACCCCCCACCCCATTCTCAGTCGCTAGCATCCAATGATTTGTTTTCTTTCCTTTTAGTTTTGCCTTTTTAAGTGTATCCTGTCAATAACATCATATAGTATTTTTAGCCTTTTGAGTCTGTTGTCTTTTATCATTTAGCATAATGCATTAAAGATCCCTCCATTTTGCTGTTTTTATGAGTTTTTCCTTTTTATCATTAGTATTCCACTTGAATGACTATATCACAATTTCGTTTTGTTTTTATCTATTCACTAGTTGAAGAGCATTTCAGGTGTTTCCAGGTTTTGACAGATAAAACTTCTATCAAGTAGTTATTATACAGGTTTTCTGTGGACATGAGTTTTTATTTCACATGGGTAAATACGTAGGCGTGGGATTATTGAACTGTACAATATGCCTACATTTAGCTTGTTAAGAAACTATCAAATTGTTTTCCAAAGTGGCTGTGCCTTTTATTATTAGCATCAGCAGTGTGTGAGAGTCCAAGTTGCTCCACATCTCTGGCAGCACTTGACATCATTAATTTTATTTGTATTTATTTGACAGCCATTATAATAGGTATGCAGTGGTATCACCTTAAAAATTTAATTTACATTGCTGTAATGACAATGGCTCTATGTACCTAATTGCCATCTATGTATCTTCTTTTTGAAGTGTCTATTCAAAATTTGTGCCCATATTTTAAATGAGTTGTTTTCTTAAGTTTTGAGACATCTTTGTATCTTCTGCATACAAGTCCTTTATCAAACATGTGATTTGCATTTATTTTCTTTCAGATCGTAGCCTTTTTTAAGCAGTGTCATATAAAGAACAAAAGTTTTAATTTTCATAAAATCCAATTTATATACTTGACAGTTTTATTTAGCTTTCCAGTGTATATAACAAAAAACAAAGGAAATGTTTGAGAAATTTTTCAGAAAAATGAGAAATATCTAAATATCCAGAATCGAATCCTCCTACACATATTAAATATCTAAAATGCACCTTAAAAATATGTTCTCTCATATCTTGTCATCTACGAAATGAAGGGAAGTGATCCTTTATGTTAATTCAAGACATAAAGACAAGTCTACAAGAAATTTT